TACTACTACTACTACTACTACTACTACTACTACTACTACTACTACTACTACTACTACTACTACTACTACTACTACTACTACTACTACTACTACTACTACTACTACTACTACTACTACTACTACTACTACTACTACTACTACTACTACTACTACTACTACTACTACTACTACTACTACTACTACTACTACTACTACTACTACTACTACTACTACTACTACTACTACTACTACTACTACTACTACTACTACTACTACTACTACTACTACTACTACTACTACTACTACTACTACTACTACTACTACTACTACTACTACTACTACTACTACTACTACTACTACTACTACTACTACTACTACTACTACTACTACTACTACTACTACTACTACTACTACTACTACTACTACTACTACTACTACTACTACTACTACTACTACTACTACTACTACTACTACTACTACTACTACTACTACTACTACTAGTACTACTGATTATACTTCTAATACATTAATTTTTCTCGGTATAAATTCTCATAGGTAAAGGCAAGTGATTGATTGATTTATGAAAATAAATAATTAAATAAATGAATAAATAAAACGTAGATAGATTGATTAATTGATAGGAATAAATGAATGAAGCAAAGATGGATTGATAGATAAAAATAAATGGAAAAGTGATGCAAATGAATTACGATCACACCTGTAAATGACTCCTTTACTGTGTAGGTAGATCAGAGCTATTGCAATCTCGGCTGAATAAAAGCTTTTTAAATAAAAATAATTTTATAAAAATTTATCTCTCAAATGTTTCATAATTTGCGTGAAATTAATTTTAATGATTTAATTAATTAATTAAATTATTCATTTGACTCATTTATTGCATCTATTCCTTCCACTACTTGTACTACCGCTGCTACTTCTGTTATTACAGTTGCTACAACTACCACTAGATTCATAATTACAACTAAATTTTCGACAGAGACATAGTTTTTAATCTTAAAAGCCAGGATTTTATACTGAACCTAGATCGTCTGAGCTACTATTTTTAACAAGCAAACCAACTCAGTAGACGCGTACTCAAAAATAGAATGACACTAAAGTAAGTTTCTATAAATAAAATAAGTGCATGTGAACATCAATCAAAAAGAAATTCAAGACTGAACCAAATGGACAGACATACAGCAAACGTACATGCTAACAGATAGACAGGAATACAGACAAACCGACAAAAATACAGACTAATTGACAGATACAGACAGAGAGTCAGACAGACAGACAAACAGACAGACAGGCAGGCAGATGGGCAAAACGCACCAGGCAACGGGCTCTTTAAACTTCGTCTCCTGTTGTATCCTGAACATAAGGTCGCCTCCGTTAACAAACTCCATCACAAAATATAACCTATCCTGAAGAATTATTTCATCAAATTATAGTTGTTAAGATATAAATTTAAAAATTTAATAAAATTTCAACAACACAATACATCCTTTAATTCGCAATACATCCTTTAACTCAAACACACACATACACACGCGCGCACGCAGACACACATCCACACTAACATTAGTTTGAAAACACGAATGCAGCGCCACAAGGAATGGAGGCTTTCCAGACAGACACAAAACCCTTTTTTCCACTTTAGTGCACTCGACATCATCATTTTGTAGGATGACATCTTTCTTCAGAACCTTGATTGCGTAATATTCATCCGTGCCTTTGCGCTGTGCCAATACAACCTGTTACAATTTCGATTTGTGTGTTACTTGCTATATAAATTTCAAAATGTTTTTAAATTGATATTGTTTTGGGGTTTATAAACTATATGCCACGTGACGTAAGCAGTGTATAAATATAGTTACATCATCGTGATGGAAACTCTCAATTTGACGTAACATAAATAACAGTTTGAAGAGAACGACAAAAAATTAACCTTTCCAAAGCTTCCTTTACCTAGGACAGCCTTGAAGTTGAAGTCAGTTACTCGGATGAGGTCTTTCATTGGCATGGTGGTTGTCTGCAGATCGTGAGCTGGCAGGGTTCTACTGTCTTGTGACGACAACTTTGTGGAGTGAATGGAGTAGTTAGAAATTTGTGGACAAGTTTGTTCATTTTTTGAGATTTGATAGTTTATTTTAGTAGTGGAGAATGAGATATTTAGCTGGATTATGGTAAAATGATATTGAGTTATTTGTTTTAGAACTGGAAACTGATTTTTTTTGTCTTGAAATTAGAATTGGGTTTGGGATTAATTTATAAAAATATGTTGGTTGCAAATTAATACAAATAAAAATGTGAGACGAGGCTAGCTAGCTTTTCATCTCTTCAATCGTAAAACAAAAATCCATTAACAAATTTTAACATATCAAATGCGTATGAACACATCAATCAGATGGTTGCTAACTTTGAGTTTATTTTTCAGCTCGATGATGCTGGTTGAGACATCATCGGTGCATGGAACGTTGTAGAACTCCCCCTCCTCCTCATTCAACAACCGGAACCAACCACTTTCTACCACGTCACCCTTGGCGCCATCTTGCTTTTGGGATTTCTGGAAAAGTTCCGATATCCCGAATGATAGAGATCCCATGAAATCGTTTCTCGACGTTCTATCCCAATCCCATACTTCTATGGATAAGCGCTTGGATAAGTCGTCCGGGCCTAATTGGCTGGGTGGATGGATTGATGGATGGATGTATGAATGCATGGATAGATGCATGGATGAAAAACTAAAGAACGTATTGAAAATCTATTTAGATATGTGTACTAGAAAGTAATGAAGTTATAGTAAACAAATTAAATGCATGCATACGTACATAGTTTTAATGGTATCTGACAGCTGTACAAACAAGAAGCACACAAAACATTTGAAACATTTTCACCGTAGCAAGCAAACTCGAAAACAACCTCATTAATTTAATCAAAAGAGAATGCTACACGTTTTGTTGTTAAAATATTTCAGTAAACACATACACAGCTCACACAACACACACACACTCACACATACATACACACACACACACTTACACGTACAACAAAAGTCACACATACTAAAGCACATTGATAACACAGTGTATTTTGCTCTATATTCTGTTCCTATTACAGTAAAAACACAGACACACATGCATATTCAAGCAAACAGACACACACACATAGAGATAAAAATAAAAGTGAACCTAACAGATGACAAACAGCCACATTAACTAATGACATCACGTTATTATATTGCATTATATTGTTAACATTATCATCGTATGGCATTAAGTCATTTATCATGTAACTTTTATTGGCTCTGCCTCTCAATTTGTTTATTTGTTTGTTTATCTGTGTGTGTGTGTGTATGTATGTGTGTGTGTGTGTGTGTGTGTCTATACCACTGGTAATTATAACTTGATTGCTACCTTGAATTTAAGAGCAATGATCATACGTTGGTGTCCTTAATATACTGGCAACACCATTATCGCAACTGTAATAAAATATAATTATTAATATGTCTGCATGACGAGTAGCTCAGAAAGTAAAGAGTTTGTCACGCTCTGCTATCCCGTGGTCACCACGTTCGAATACAACATAAAACGAAATTGATCGTCGAATGGTTGTGTGTATTTGTAATGAGTAATAGCGATTGGACCGTTAAAATCATTGGCTCTGTCATCGTGCAATGAGTCTTTATTATTTTAATCATCGTCATCGCCATCATCATCATCATCATCATTGCCATCATCATCATCATCATCATCATCATTGCCATCATCATCATCATCGCCATCATCATCAACGTCGTCATCATCAGGGTTCGCGCCATCATCATCAGCATCATCATCTATCACATCACTAATCTTTTCGACTTAATCACAACTTTGAAGATTTCTTGATGAAAAAAATTCACCATCGGAAGATGAGTTGGACAATTGGCTGTAGATGAAAATATTAATCATGCGTGCAATTATATACAAACGTATGCAGTATACACAAACCTATAATATACATACAAACATATGAAATATGTATACATAATTTACATACAACCCATACAAAATTTACTAATACACACTTCAAATAATTCATATATGCAATAAATACAAGAGTATACAAATATATACAACACATACAAACAAATACTAATATATAAAATATACACAGTCTACACAAATATATACTAATACTAATGTATTAATATATATGTGTGACCAAAAACTTATCTATATATTACACATCACATTCGTGTTTGTGTTTTTATGTGTATGTCCCTTTGTATGTATGTGTGTGTGCGTTTTTGTGTGCTTTTGTATGTATGTATGTATGTATGTATGTATGTATGTATGTATGTATGTATGTATGTATGTATGTATGTATGTATGTATGTATGTATGTATGTATGTATGTATGTATGTATGTATGTATGTATGTATGTATGTATGTATGTATGTATGTATGTATGTATGTATGTATGTATGTATGTATGTATGTATGTATGTATGTATGTATGTATGTATGTATGTATGTATGTATGTATGTATGTATGTATGTATGTATGTATGTATGTATGCATGTATGTATGTATGTATGTATGTATGTATGTATGTATGTATGTATGTATGTATGTCTGTATGTATGTATGTATGTATGTATGTATGTATGTATGTATGTATGTATGTATGTATGTATGTATGTATGTATGTATGTATGTATGTATGTATGTATGTATGTATGTATGTATGTATGTATGTATGTATGTATGTATGTATGTATGTATGTATGTATGTATGTATGTATGTATGTATGTATGTATGTATGTATGTATGTATGTATGTATGTATGTATGTATGTATGTAATGTATGTATGTATGTATGTATAGAGTGGGTGGGCGTATGAGTATAAGGTGGCTAAGAAGGCAGAGAAAATTTGATCAATACATACATAGGTTGGCTTTTTAAAGAGAGACTGTAGAGAACCTTGATCATCATGTGTCGTGTGGTGTGTTTGTCGCCTGTTTAGTGTGTCATTTGTGTGTGTGTATGTGTGTGTGTCATTTGTGCGTGTGTGTGTGTGTGTGGTGTGCGTGTGGCTATATAAAAGACGACATATGAATGCAAATGCAATGAAAGCATACACTTCCAGCGATATACACATACATTCAGACCTACACACACATTTAGAGACATACATACTTACATACATACACACACACACACACCAAAATATACGCACATACACACAGATACACGCACGCACGAATGCAAACACACAAACGAACTTGTCGTGTGTAATATAGATAAGTTATAAATATTAAATACGCTTTGCTAAGTACTTTCTAATGGATGTAGAAGAAAAAATTTAAACACATAAACAACGAAGGAAAATATAAAAAAATGCAGACAACAAAATAATTGCTTTTGAGAAATAAATTAGACAAAAATATGAACGAAAAAGAAGAATTTTTCTGTATTAATGAAGTTCACAAAAATTCACACGCGCATACAAAATCTTTATACAAAAAATATACACACACACACATACGCACACACATATAAGCACGCAAACACACACCAAAATATATACACATACAATATTTAATACATACGTACGTACATTCAATACATACACAATTATACGAAATACAAACATGTAGACGCATACGTACATACGTTCAAACAAAATACAAAAAAAATCACATTCAGCAAGCATACATCCATGCATACAGCAAGGATTATGATATTAAATGAGGAAATGGTATTGAGAGAGAGAGAGAGAGAGAGAGAGAGAGAGAGAGAGAGAGAGAGAGAGAAAGAGAGAGTGAGATAGAGAAAGACCAAAATATGAATAGATAGAATGATGGAGAAATAAAAGAATAAATAGATTAATATTTGAATTGATGAGCAATCGATAAAAATATACAAATTTGTATACAAATGAGTAAACTCAAAATAACAGAAAATGAGAGATAGCGAGAACAAAGAAGGAGGAAAACAAAAACAACACTACACGCGTGTAAAACAGACAATAACTCAATTTTTCAATGTCTTCAAACAAAACAAAGTATTATGTTGTTGCTCGTACCATTACAAGAAATCAGTGCAATCTTAACAAAATCATACAACCAACCAAACTCCCTAAAATTAAACACACACACACACACATACACACACAAACATACACATGCACACACACACACAAACATACATACACACACAAACATACACATACACACACAAAAACATACACATACCATCATCATCATTAAATTATCACACCTACACACCATTATCACCGTCAAGATTGTGTGTTTTTTGTCACCGCCACCAGCATCGTCGTCATCATTTTCAGTTATATGAAATCAGCAACATGTTAAAAACTGATTTACAACACAATAACCAAGAGAACTCATAAGCAACGAACGAATAATGAAAATGTCATAAATTATACTAGTACAAACACTCACACCACACACACACACACACTACGCACACACACGTACATACATACAATATACAAACACACATATGTACAAAATTAATTAGTATGTATATTTGTATAGTATGTATCTGTATGCAAATACTTACGAGAAAAAGCAATTGACTTGTGGGTTGATGTTCGTTGGAGATTGCTTTATTACTTTTTGTATTGTATTTTTTCAAAGAGTTATTAAATGACTGAATGAATGAATGACTGAATGCATGAAATGAATAAACGAACAATTGAATGAACGAACGAATGAATAAATAAATGAACGAATGAATGAATGAACGAATGAATGAACGAATGAATGAACGAACAATTGAATGAACAAACGAACGAACGAACGAGTGAGTAAATAAATAAATGAATGAACGAATGAATGAACGAATGAATGAATGAACGCATGAAAGAGTTTAAATAACGAAGCAGTCACGGCAAGAGTGAAACCATGTGCCTTAACTGTTGAGCTATCTCTTCGCTATGTATTATAAGAAATATATATAATTTCAAACTATAACAATAATAATAATATGAACTATAATAAGAAGAAGAAAAAGCAGCAATAATTATAACGATTAACAAATGCTAGAATGGAAGAATATTTACAGAGCATGTAATTAATTAAGTTAAAAACTGACACAACACACACACACACACACACACACACACACACACACACACACACACACACACAATATAATTATGACTATTTTAGGCTTTCTATAATTAAATTTACGTTAAAAAGCAAAACACCTATATTAATACAAATCTATGTGTATATGTATGCGTGCGTGCGTGTGTGTATGTGTAAATGTTTGTAATATTTATGTATATGTGTGTTTAAATGTTTGTAATCATTGTGTGTATGTATACGTGTATATACGCGCTTTAAGACAGAACGTGTGTTTGTATATGCGTGAGTGTGTGCGTGTATGTGTGTGTGATAGAGAGAGAAAGAGAAAGAAAGAGAGACAGAGAGAGACAGAGAGAGAGAGAGAGAGAGAGAGAGAGACAGAGAGAAGCAGAGAGTGCGGTCCAAAAATATTGACGTTAAGTGGATTAGGCTTGCGCTGCCTCTATGAGAGAGTGAGAACAAAAAACTCATAATAATAGACAAATACAAAAAGTATAAAAACACATACAAACAGATACAAATATTCTTCGTAAAACAAACACACACGCACACAAACAGATACACGAACACACACACATAAACACATAGACACAAACACACGCGCACACACACACACACACATAGCACTGACAAGGATGTGTGTAATTGGCTTTAATTCATTCACGTTCTCATTTCAAACCCTACTTCTGTAAAAGAATAATATTAACATATATTACTTATACACACATATACACACACACACTCACAACACACACATACATACATACACAAACACACACACACACACATACAGGCATACATACATACATACAAACACAAATACATATATACAATTATACACACACAATCAAAACAAGGAACATTCATTGGAACAAGCGTTTCAAAAATATACAATGCTATCTTCTCCTATTTAAATGACATTGGCAGTAACACCAGTGCGATTAAAACAAACAAACAAACTAATTAATCAATTTATTTATTCTTTATACCACTAATTAAATTATTAAACCAAAATGAAAGCAAATGAAACCCAAACAAACACACAAACAAACACACACTCACACACACAGTCACAAGCACACACTAACACACATACACACACTCACACATATAAACAGACACACAAACAAACACACACAAAAAAACACACACACACCCACAAACACTAACACACGCACACTAACACACACTGACACATAAAAACACACACACACAAACAAACACACAAACACACACACACAAACAAACACACAAACACACACTGACAAATACAAACAGACACTCAAACAAACTAAGCACTAACAAGACAAAAACTTCGTTCCATTGAGGATTTAGGTTGGTCCGGATGGTTTTTGTCTTCTGCTTGGTCCTTCCCTGATCCTCTGGGATCAACTTGATCTTCACGTACGGATCCGCCAATCCGTTGGGATCCATCGGAATTAAGTTCTTTGCTTCGATTACTAAAAATGAGAATGAGTGAGTGAGTGATTGAGTGAGTGAGTGAGTGAGTGAGCGAGTGAGCGAGTGAGCGAGTGAGTGAGTGAGTGAGTGAGTGAGTGAGCGAGTGAGTGATTGAGTGAGCGAGCGAGTGAGTGAGTGAGTGAGTGATTGAGCGAGCGAGCGAGCGAGTGAGTGAGTGAGTGAGTGAGTGAGTGAGTGAGTAAGTGAGCGAGCGAGTGAGTGAGTGAGTGAGTGAGCGAGTGAGTGAGTGAGTGAGTAAGTGAGCGAGTGAGTGAGCGAGTGAGTGAGTGGTGAGTGAGTGAGTGGTGAGTGAGTGAGTAAGTGAATGAATGAATAACGCCCAAATCATTAATTAATTTTAGAAAGAAATAAAAAACATCGGAATGATTCTGAAGAAAAGAATTTACCTTTTGTTAAATGGTTGATGGAGTTAACGACGATGATGATAATAATGATGATAATAATAAACATAATAATAACAATAATAATAAATCTTATTTTTTTAAGTCTCGTGTATCAGACTTATACGTATAAGCTTCTAATGTAAACTTGAACAAGTAAATTATGTAAACAAATGTCTGCTTTTTATTTATTTATTATATGTGTGTGCGCATGTGTGTGTCTCTCTCTCTTTCTCTGTGTGCATGTGTGTGTGCACGTGTGTGTGTGTGCATGTGTGTGTAACAGGCGCTAATGTTTTCGGCTGTTAAATGGTTCAAATTCAAAGGATTACAGTGCAATCATCGTTATTTTGTTTATGGGCTACGATTTTATAATATTTATAAATTTTGTTGGTTGTTTGCAATCAACCAAGCAAACATCTGACAATTTAACCATCCAAACAATCAATCAATTAACTAACCAACCAACCAATCATCCAACCAACCAACAAATCAATCAGTTAACTAACCAACAAACCGTATGATTGGCAATAAACTAATCACTCAACCATCTAACCAATTATTTGACTAATTAATATACCAATGATTCATCTAAACAACCGGCCAACAAACCATCCATCCAGCCATCCAACCAATTAATTAATCAACAAGCCATTCAATCAGCCAACTGACCGTGAACTGTCAGGGATGCATCCTTGCAGCTGACCTTGACATTGATCCTACCCCTCTTCTCAGTGTTGTCCAGGCCACACAGGGGTGGAACATTCCCTTCGCACCTCTTGTGCACTATCATCTCGCAAGCTACGTAGATGAATGAAGGAAGAAACGAGTGAATGAGTGAGTGAATGCGTAAGTGAATGAATGATGCATGAATGGATAGATAAATGGATAGATAAATGGATAGATGAATGGATGGATTGATCAATCGAAAAAGAAAAAAAGTAGTATAGATAGTGTTTGATGGATGACGATTTAAATGAGTGAATGAATGACTGAATAGGAAATAAAGGATGAATATAAAGAATTGCGTGGCTATGAAGTTTTTGTGGGAAAAATCTTTGCGTAAATGAATGAATGAATGAATGAATGAATGAGCGAATGGACGAAGGAATGAATGAAAATACGAATGAATGAACAAACGAACAAATAAATGTGCGTGAATGAATGAATGTATGAAATCGCAAAGATGGATGGACAAATGCGATGAATGAATGAAAAAATTTCAAAATATTCAAGCAGTAATATCATGATAGAAAGATTTGTGAAAATAAGGGAAGAAAATTTTCAAAATGCAAATTCATTTGACGGTGTTCAATGTAGATGCAAATGTAACATAGATTGAATGAATGAATGAATGAATGAATGAATGAATGAATGAATGAATGAATGAATGAACAAACGAAAGAACGAACAAACAAAAAACCAATGAATGAACGAACGGATGAACGAACGAACGAAAGAATAAATACATAATACAATTAAGTTGAATATGACATAAATAATTTTGAATAGCATGTCTGTTCTAGATAAAACTTAACAGAGCTTCAGAAGACAAAATTTTTTTTTGCCAAATTTTAATTAAAATCCTGAAAAATAATAAAAGTGAAAAAAGGGGCAATCAAATAGGCACCCACATAAAATTGTTTAAACAACATCACACAATTTTTTCAAATTTTTCTTCAAACTTCAGCCAAAAAAAATGTCAGAAATAAAATTTAAAGAATTTAATTAAATCCTCTTGCAAGTATATCTAAAAAACATTCTTAAAAAAGCAATATTATTATTATCTTTATTATTATTATTATTACTATTATTTCATTATTATTATTATTATTATGATTATTATCTTGCATGGAGTTATAAGAATGGACGCGTGATGTGAGTATTTGGTTTTTTTCTTTCAAAAGAAAACTTATTTCATGGAAGCGAAAGAAAATTTTCCATTTGGGGACATAATTTACTTTTCAAAATTAAATGAAAATGGTTGGAAAGCTTTCACACATTCACACATAACAGCACACACAATCACACATACAAACACACACAGATACATACACACACACACACACACACACACACACACACACATGCATACATACATATATACAGCTACAAGCAAAAACACATAAAAATAATGTGCACGATACGTTGATTCGTGCGTGTATGTGTGTATGTATGTTTTGTTATTATTATTGTTGTTGTTAAAATTTATATAGCGCCAAATAAAATAAATCATAACAATGATTCAAACAAATATGTCTTTAGACGTCTTTTTAATTCCAAGAGAGTTAATTCAGGTTGACATTGATCCTACCCCTCATCTGGCAGTCCATTCCGTAAAGTCAAAAATGTGTGTGTCCGTGTGTCCGTGTGTATGTGTGTGCGTGTGTGTGTGAGGTGTGCGTGTTAAAAATTTAAAAGTAAACCTACATTCACATTTCAGTCCCTGGTGCACCAGGCCGTAGAGCATCGATCCGCAGTGATCACAAAACACCGGACTGTTGAATGACGTCACTTTGAATTTGTGTTTGTTCAGGAACTAAGAGTGTAATGCAATGTAATGTGAAGAAATTTTAAAAGATAAAATTGTATCATAAAATTGCGATTCACTAAACATCAATTAAAGTTTTATATGACAATTAAACCAATCAATCCATCAATCAATCAATCAATCAAATGGTAAATTTACTAATCAACAAACAAATAACCCAGTCAATCAACGTCCATTCTTCAGCAAATTTATTTAAATTATGAATGTTTCCACAAAAAAAACTATACAAAACATTAATAATGGCAACCGTTATTGTGCCATGAAATCAAACAATGTGCAAACATTTCATTTCATTATTGACGACAAAAACATCATTGTATGTATGACTGTGTGTGTGCGTGCGTGTGTGTGTGTTTGTGTGTGTGTGTGTGTGCCTCGCCTTGCGTTAAATGAGATGGAACCTTTTATGACACCATCCATCCAGTAATATAACAAACACGCATCCAATGGAACACAGCACAGGCAGGCATATACATTACACACACACACACACACATACATACACGACATACTATACTTTAACGTGCTGTAAAGGCAAACCGATAAACTTTCAGGGTAATTTTTGGTATTTTTTGTATGTTTTGTAAGTTTTGTATGTTTGTATATTTTTTACATTTTGTTTGCTTTTGTATGCAAACATAAATTTGACACGTGCTAATGAGCAAATATTACTATTTAAATCTGACATAAATCCGACATTTTTGGCGAAAAAACATATTAAGACTTTAAACCAATATTGCGAAATAACTAGAAGGAAACAGTGTTCAAAGAGAAAAAAAGAGAGAGAAAAAGAGAAAGAGAGAGAGAAGAAAAGAGAAAAAGAGAGAAAGAAAGAAGGAAAAATAACAAGAGAGATACTCTGAAAAAATTAGGCAGAAAATATAACAAGTGTAGTTTGAACGAGCAAGATAAACAACACACAACACATAAAAACCGATCATGCCGATGAGAGAGAGAGAGAGAGAGAGAGAGAGAGAGAGAGAGAGATAGAGAGAAGTTTCTCTCTTTCTCTGTATCTCTTTCTCTGTATCTCTCTCTCTCTCTCTCTCTCTCCTCTCTCTCTCTCTCTCTCTTTCTCTCTCTCTCTCTCTGTCTCCTCTACCTCAGGGATTATAATGATAACATTCGCTTGCTTATAATAATCTTTTTTTTTCGCTATCACATAAATAATTAGATTCATGTTTAGACTGTCCGTGTTCATGATTAATATTTATAATATCGTTATTATTATTATCATTATTCCACACACTTACACGCACACACAAAATCACATACACACACACAATCACATACACACACGCACACATACACACGCACACCTAACATCATTTGGCAATGCATAAACAATACGACTGGTTTGTTTTGTACCCATTCTGTATTCTTTAATTAAAAGCTTTCATGGCTGGATGATGGTTATAACGCATGCTTAGGTAGAAACCCTATATACCGTAAATACTGTTGCAAATACTACTATATAAGTATAGCTAGACTAATAATCCGGGCACTAAATTAACTCTTCAATGTACTACACTAAAAAAGCAGTTGTAGTAGGAAAAGCGGTAGTAGTGCAGTTGTATAGTTGTAGTAGAAGTAGTAGTAGTAGTAGTAGTATTAGTAGTAGTAGTAGAAATAGTAATAGTAGCAGTAGTAGTAGTAATAGTAAGAGTAGAAGTAATAATGCCATTACTAATACAGTAGTAGTATTAACAACAAATGTTTTGAAGTTAAGCGAATACGTTATCATCTTTATTTTTTATTTGTTTTTATAAATTATCATCATCATCATCATCATCATCATCATCATCATCATCATCATCATCATCATTATTATTATTATTATTATTATTATTATTATTATTATTATTATTATTATGAATATTCTCACGTCAGAGTCAGGTCCTTTGTCGGCTCCAGGGCATATGAAATTGACGAACTCGTGGCATCTCTTATGGACCACCAAACAGCATTCTATGGAAAGTGTGAGATTTGTTCTTCAATTTTACAATAATTTTATTTATAATACTTTTCATTAGAAATGTAGTAGTAGTGTTAGTAATATTAATAGTAGTAGCAGTGTTAGCAGCAGTAGTGATAGTAGAAGTAGCAGCAGTAGAAGTAGCAGCAGTAGCAGTAGCAGCAGTAGTAGTGAAAAATCAAGTTACCGTTGCATTGAAATCCTTGCTTTCCAAATCCCCTGGTAATATAGAATAATTTTCAACAAAATTATTACATTTAGATAACAGTAAAAACTTTTAAAACAATATATAACAACAAACAAACTCATAACAACAACAACAACAGAGCCAAAACTACAACATACCAAATAAAATCGGTGCAGTGGCTACAGAAAGTCGGTTGTTTGAAAAATTTTGCGACAAAATTGTGACCTTTGACCTTGTGGACATCTTTCTGGCGAACCGCGCCCCTTCTTTGAACTATCCTCCCACTTACAAACTCTTTGTCGTCGTCTTTATCGGCCATTTTATATTTGTTTTTTAATTTAAAATTATTAAAGTTAGTCTGGGTAGGTCAGGTTAAATTTGAAATAGCCGAACGACGCGATATTTATTATAAGTTAGCCTGGTCACAACCAAATATATAAGCAGCTACATATCACAAATATTAAAAAAACAATTTGATTGATTGTTTAATTACTAATTAAGCCTTTTTTTAATCAGAATTTAAATAACCTAATTAAGCAAAACAATACAACGAATAGCGCCTAGACGAAAACAACAGCCAGCAAAATTAATAAAATTATTTTGGCCTAAGTGTAAATACTTTTAAAAAAATTACAACAACAACAGCAACTACTAATATTATTATTATAATATTATTATTATAGTACAACAACATAAATTATGAAATTATTTATTATAAAATATAATAAAAATACATTCAGACCCCGGTTCGAAGAGGATGAACGAGATGCACAGCGCTCACACGAAACATCTCTTGTTGTGGTGGTTTCCTCCAGCATCATATATAAACATACAAATTCTAGGTTTGTTTATCGTTTCAATATACTAACACGGTAGTGTTATACTTAGTATTTATAGTAAATTATACAATACAAGATAGTATGTACAGTTTCTATATCATAGTGTATCTTGTAATTGTTTCTGTTAGATATACTTGACTAGGAATTTAGATATATATGCGCTACGTAATACAGTTTAGTTCGCTAACACAAATATATGGTTCATAAATAACTGTTTTACTCTTCATAAAGGGTATATCTAGTTTGTATATATATATCCAGCATGGATATATTATCCATGGTATCCATCCATGTTAGTTAACATAACATAGCATGGCGTTGGACTTTTATAATTGCATTCATTTATATATTAGCTAGCTAACAAGCAAGCACGCATGTTTATGTGTGTGTGTGTGTGTATATATGTGTATGTATATGTGTTTATATATATATATATAATAAATATATATACGTGTGTGTGTGTATGCATGTTTACATGCGTTTCGTGTTGTATAACCTTCACTTAATCAATTATTACACATCGTTTATTATAATTTTTTAAATCTGTCTCCGATTTGCTATATATGCATTCAGGTTATATTATATATATATATATATATATATATATATATATATATATATATCTGTGTGTGTGTGTGTGTGTGTATGTGTATGTGTGTGTGTGCGTGTATAAAACCAAAACATTTATTGTTAACACTAGTATAAACGGTCGTTTACTGACTAATATATTATCTCACGTATGATTTTTGCAGCTTATACAATAATTATATAACCTTTAAAATTATTGTTATAATAATAAAATTATGAAATTTTTAACAGTAATTATGTGAGGAAATAAAATAAGTAAATTCTTATTATAACCGGATTTAGATTTAGCAGACATGCGTGGCAAAAAATGCTAATTGTCGTACGCACGTGATATTCTCATATAAGTAGTATTCTTATTAGAAATAACTGTCAAATGGGATCTAGAATTAAAATACTGTAAATCTATTACTAACAAGTACTGCAGTTCAAGTAGTATCTCGTTAGGATCAACGTTACATAGTAATTACTTTGAGTTATTAGAAAAAAGAGAAGTTTATACCAGGGCAGCCATATCTCGTTTGAATCTTTTAGCAATTGCGGTGTTGCCTGGTTCAATTGCAGTCTTCGCGAAATAGTTTTTACTATTAGTATAGTATGAAATGAAGTAGGTACAATGATTTAAATGTGATAAATTACGCTTAATGCCAGGCGAAGTGTTATAAAATAATACAATATGAGTATAATCGAGATAATTTTTATATGAAACACCCATCTTTTTTATTGTAACTTATTTACTCAGTATACTGAATGTTTCATGTCATTTTATTGAAATAATTCTACTATAAACAACATCAGGTTGATGGTAACGTTTATTAATAATTTACAAATATCGTTACTCTACCACTCATTTTTTTATATTTATTATCTAATTAACTTTTAAAAGCAAAATCAGTAGTAGTTTGGTTTTTCCAACAAAAAAAGGTTTTTGTGGACGATTAGTTAAATTAGTAAATTGAAGTTAGTAATCGGTGAAAAATGGTTTTGAAAGTTTTAGAACTTTATAGCGGAATTGGAGGAATGCATTTTGCGCTAAATGGTAGTAACATTTTAAATGTTTATTCAATTTTTATTTTGTGTTTTATATCATTTTTTATTAATGAAAAAAAAATTTAATTTTAATTTAATTTTAACATTTAATCAATTTTTAACTTTTTTAAATTGAACTGATTAGAGTCAGGCATAAAGCATGAAGTGGTGGCAGCTATCGACATCAACCCAGTATGTAATGCAGTTTATAGACACAATTTTCCTAATACAAAACTCATTGAAAAATGTTTAACAGTGAGTCAGTCTTCTTATCCTTATGACTTCTTAATTTTATTATTTATTTTGAAAACAGATTTTCATTCTTTGTGATTTTTTCTTAGCCTCTCTCATTCTCTCTCTACATATGTAGTATCATGTATGTGTGTGTGTATCATTATCTCCATATCGTGTGTGACTGTCATTAAATGTAAACTCATTGAATACAGTCGATTTTCTTAAAAGACTTCAACAAAATGTCAGCTGATATGATCCTCATGAGCCCTCCTTGTCAGCCATTCACAACAATTGGCAAGCAGAAAGATGTCCATGATGAAAGAACAAAATCATTTCAGTACTTTCTCTCTATCCTGCCTAAGTATAATTATTTGTTTTATTTTTATAATTTTATAATATGATTTTTTACGACTCTTTCTCTAAGGGAAAGTTGAATTAATGTGATAAATGTTTAAATATAACAGATTTGTTGAACTTTTAAATTATTTTTTAGTAAAAACCAGTGATAAAGTAAGCAAAAATTATTTACTAATTACAGATTTTCTAAACTGCCTGGATACATACTGATGGAGAATGTTAAAGGGATTGAAAGTTCCATAATGAGAGGTGAATTTTTGAAAGTTCTCAGCCAATTAAATTATGATTACCAGGTATTTAATATCTTTTCTGGTTCAAGATGTTTTTTTTTAAATAATTATTACATCTAAAAATAATAATTAAAGTTTGATAATCTCATTCCTCTGTAGGAATTTATTCTAGATCCAACACAGTTTGGCATTCCTAACTCAAGAAGACGTTATTATTTACTAGCTAAATTACAAAATGTTAATTCTAGCCTCCAAACGAGGCCAGATGTAAGTATTTTTATTGGCTTTTTATTTATTTTATATTTTATTTATTTATTTGAAATTAATAACTAACTGTTTATTAACTTGCATTATTTTAATTAATTTATAACAGATTACGTATAGTTTACTTAGGCAGAATGACAACTCTACAACAAATATTTCTCAAACTGACGACAAAAGTGTGTTGAGACCGTTGCGAGACTTTCTTGAAAAACAACTGCCGGAGTATTTTGAAAAATTCCGTCTGCCCAAGAAGCTCTATAAGAAGTATTGGTTAATGGATTTGGTGTCAGAAAACTCAAAATCATGTTGTTGTTTCACCAAAGGGTATCATAAGTTTTCTTTTTATTTTTATATTTTCATTAAAAATAATTTATTTTAATTTAATTAAATGTGTAAATTTTAACAAATGGATTTATTTAAAAGTCTAATCCTGTAGGTATGGACGTTATGTTGAGAAGGCTGGGTCCATTTTTCAAACTTCTCCATCTGAAGTTGATTTGGTTTGCTTTACTATATATTTCCCAACTTGCCGTTTTTTCAAGTTTGCAAATTTCTTAACATTGCAGTTTCCTTATAAGAATCATGAAAGTGACGAGCAGTTTGTTGCTGAGGTAGATAAGTTGGGTCTCAGGTTTTTCACGCCTAGGGAAATTGCAAATTTCCTGTGCTTTCCATCTACATTTGGTGAATTTGTGTTACTTTGTCTTGAGATATGCCTGAATGTAACACAACTTTGTGTCAGCGTTATCTGAATTACATATACTATTATGTTTGTTTTGTCTGATGTTATTTGAGAGCATGCTGAGTAGATAAATGGTGCCTGCAATGTCGACATACGCAATGTAATATTTGAAATACACATCTTACAGAATTTCCAGCCAACTTGAATATACAGCAGCAGTATCGGGTCCTTGGAAACAGTTTAAATGTACATGTCGTTTCAATGTTATTGAAATTGTTGTGCAGTTGAAACTGAATAAAGAATTGTGTAAATTTTATTAGTTTTCTGTTCTTTTCTGTTGTTAAGTTATCGGTTGGAGTGGTCGATCGCCAATCATGTTACAAGAAAACGAAAAATTTCGCAATTAACAGTTGATTTTTAAATTAAAAATTATTTTCATTTCGTTTTTAATATGGTCCCATGTCGTTCAAATCGCGTTTTGTGCCAACTTATTTCATCGTTCTCATGATTACATTGTCTATGTTTTAATACTTACAAAAATTTGTTAACAAAAGATTTTGTTTTATCTATTGTTTTCTTTTCAGCTTCCTTTTCCTCTATTAAAATGGTTAGTGATGTTTTTCGAGATTATCGTTTTAAATAATCCAAATCAATCTTTCATAATTCCCAACTCATTTGCTTTTTAATGGTTTGATTTTATTAATAAATATTTTATTCAGTATTTTAGTAATTGAAGCAAATGTAAAATGTGCATTTCGTTGTGATTTTCAGGCTAAAGTAAAAGCCAAGGATTTAAGAAATAAGAAGAAAGATGAGTTGTTGAAGCAGTTGGATGAACTCAAAACTGTGAGATTTTTTGTTTTTCACGGGTTTTTAGATTATAATTAATTTTATTAACCTGATTTTGGGAGCGCGAGTATTTTTTTATTCCTAATATGATAGGCATGCATCTCTTGATTAAATTGCCAACATGCTTTGTTTTGAGTTTTTTATTCAATATTTTACTTTGAATTTAATTTGCAATGTTTGAAATTTTTTTTTTATACACTCTAATTTTTATTTGGTTGATCTAACAATTTTTTCACCTATCTGAAAATTTTAATTTAATCAATAAATTTTGTTCATTTTTTAGGAGTTGTCCCAGTTACGAGTTGCAAAAGTGACAGGAGGGGCTGCTTCTAAATTGTCAAAAATGTAAGACATTCATTTTCATAACAAATATATATTTGTTGTCTCAGTAATTTGATTTAATTTTAATTATTTAATAAAGAAGTGTGTTATGTCAATTATGCTGGTCCTAGTCTCTCTAGTGATATTTGCATTGCCGACCCACAGCTTTATAAATTATTACATAGTTTCTAATCTATTTTTGTATTGTACAAAAATTGTTCATATTGACATAAATAATTTAAAATAATCTTGGGTAAATATTTTATATTGGGTATACAAAAACAAACTCACATAACATATTTTGATTTTTAGACGAACAGTCAGAAAATCGATTGCCAGAGTTTTGACAGTTATTCATCAAACACAGAAAGAAAATTTAAGGAAGTTCTATGCCAAGAAGAAGCGAAAGCCCAAGGATTTGCGTAAAAAATTGACGAGAGCAATGAGAAGGGCTCTAACCCCTCATGAATTGGGCATCCAGACAGCCAAAGAACTTCACAAAAAACTGGCCTACCCCCAGAGAGTTTATGCCATCAAGGCTTAATTTGACTCTTTCATGTGCATATTTGTGGTGATAAAGTGTTATATCTAAAACACAGAAAATATGTCTTGTGTCTGTTTACTTATTTATCAGTAAATAACAAAAAATAATTACAATTTTGTTAAAGCTTTATAGTTGTACATAGAAATGTACACGGTAGATAGTAAAGCGTTTAAGTGTGCATGTAAAATAGTATGAGATAGTGTAAAATCAAAAAGTCGATGTAGTAAAAGGAGTTTAGTTGTCGAACACTAATAAAAATTTATTTCCAACAAAATTTCGATTAGGTGGGTGATAATCTATATTGATACCATTGTTTTTGACTCAGCAATTTGCTAATCTTAATAGTGAACTTGATGAATAAAATGCGATTCCGATAAATTTAAATGGATGTTCGCATGTATACCTGTTTATATGTACGGTACAATCCACGCCACTTGCTAAATAATAAGATCCAGTCACGATTGAGTTAATTTTTTGGGTAATTCTGTTGGATATGTAATGAAAACGTAAGACAGTTTACTTGTAGACTTATTGACAGTTCATTTATTTCGTTCATTTAAATATGCCAAGACCTCGGCACTGACGCTCTTACGTTTTAAATATTTGGCCATGGATGTAATTATATTTCATTATGTATATCCATGTATATGGCATGGCATAAGTATGGATATAATTATATTTTATTATATATATATCCATGTATACAACAACACACGTTTAGACGACATTTTCCCCGAGATCGGGGGTTGCCGTTTGGCTACCTATGATGAAACCGAAATACCCCTCGACGCCATTCCATCATAAGTAATTTATTTGGCTAATTTTTACGCAGGACGCCCTTCCTTACGCAACCACAGTTATAAGCGGTGGGCCTAGCCTTTGATGATCCAACATCACTCACAAGGCAGTGAAGGTCAGTTTAATGTCATAACCATATATATCCATGTATAGTTCTACGCAATAAAGTTTACTATTTAGAGCAGAAAAAAGTTGTTCGAGTTTAATCATTTATTGACTAAACAAACTCAATATAACAAAAAATTGTTCGAGTAACATTGTCATACAAATATATACAAGAATAATTTTCTAATGTAAAAAAGCGATAATAAATATAATATATAGGTGTTTATGTGTATATATAAATTCAAAAAGTTGATATGGTGCAAGTAGAGTTAGCCAGCACGTGAAACCATTCATCGTCTGGAGAATATCCGGATATCTTCTGTAACAAAAACATGTGTATCTCTTGGAAGGATGGCCTGTGTTCGGCGTTGATGTTCCAGCAAGTTTTCATCAAGTCATAGATCTCTTTAGAGCAGATGTTCGGTTTTGGCAAGATGAGCTGGGCGGCCGTGGCGGGGTTGTCCACGGTGTACATCAAGTTCGTTACTTGGTTGTTGTTCAGGGAGCCGTGTGGTTTCTCGGTGCAGTGCACCAATATCTCCCACAGTGTAACGCCGAAACTCCATACGTCGCTCTTCGGAGAGAAGTTTCCCTGTCAGATATTTGCTTTGGTTGTAAAATAGAATAAATTAAATAACAATGTTTTTTTTCTAAAACAAAGTTTAGAAATAAGAAAAATTTATTCGCTACTCATTCAAAATGTTTTAAAATGACAACAAAAACAATAAAATAATGATAATGGAAATACTTGAGTAAGAGCTTCCCAACTCATCCATCTAACTGGCAGCAGTGACATGTTTGATCCGCAGGGGAGATAGTTGCTCCTGTAAGCAGACTTGCACATTGCCAGGTTTGATATCTTTAGACTGAATTGGTGGCCCAGCAGACAGTTTCTAGCCGAAAGATCTCTGTGGATGATGCCGAGAGATTCCAAGTACTTCATCCCCGACGATATTTGACTGGCGATGTAGAGCAGGCATCCGTAGCTTCATTGTAATTTCAAATTGAAAATAAATTTCATTAGAAATAGGAAATAGCATTTTTGAAACTTCAAGTAACCATGTCAATTTTAAAAGTAATAACATAATAAAAGTGATAATGTGAAGACGGTAAAATGTGGTGTAAATGAAAATGATGTTCTTACCTTAGCATCTGTTTCTCGGGTAATTGCTTTGAATGTTGACCTTCCATGAACTCGAAGAGGTCGCCGAATTGTGGGTACTCGAAAACGGCAGCCAAGGAAGTGTCGGCTTTCTGCCACATGCCGAGTAGCTTGTGTATGTTCTGATCGTTCAAACCGCTCTGCAACTGATTTTCTTTGCGAAATTCCGTTCTGGGTTGATTAGAATTTCTTATAAATTAATGCACATCAAAAAGGAGCAATGTATGATGATCGGGTTGAATTGGGTTAATTTCAGCATTTCTGTATGAAAATGTTTTCGATTTGAAAAGTTAAAATAATTGCTATAGATGGTTTTGATCAGTGGTGTGTAGTTATTAACTACAAACAGTTAACTACTAGTTAATAACTACTTGCTAGTAGTTAAGCTGTAGTTAATAACTATTTTTTTCAAAGTAGTTATTAACTAGTAGTTAACTATTTTTTTAGTAGTTAATAACTACAGTAGTTAACTATTTTACATAACTACTTATAATAATAAGCTAATATTTGATCGCCCCTATTTGTGTGCATGCATTGTTGTGTTACTGTTGAAAACAGACATGGTCATCTAATATGCATTTGCTATGCATGACTAATCATATCACATGCTGGATAACAAAGGGTTGTATACAACAATGAGCAAAACATATATAAAACATATATACAATATATCATATATATTTATATATATAACACATTGTATATGGATACATATAATAGACATTTTACATAATATACATACATATTATATACACCTATTGCAATAATCTATATGACTATATTGAGGAAAACAGTGAAAGTTCTTGCAAATTAGCTGAACAACTCAACAATTATTTATCTAGTCAGGCAAAAAATGTTGAACATTTATTTTGCTATCCAGCAGTGTGTGCAGCATTTTTAAAAATAAATTCGAAATTACCAAGCTCAGCTGCTGTTGAAAGGCTATTCAGTGTTGCCGGACAAATTTTTACTAATAAACGAAAGGTTGTAAACACCAGTTTCTTTTTAAATGGCAATGTTTGGAAAGTAGTTAACTACTAGTTAACTACTAGGTGGTAGTTAAAGAGTAGTTACTAACTACTGTTGTGCAAAGTAGTTGAAAAGTAGTTACTAACTAGATTTTTTCAAAGTAGTTAACTATAGTAGTTAACTACATTTTTTAAGTAGTTAGCACAACACTGGTTTTGATAAAATTAGGAACGTACATAATCCCATTCGGGGAGTAAGGCTTCAGTATTTTAACAATCACAATTGCTTTAGAGTTGTCCAAATCCAACGCTTCGCATACGTAAACCTGTGGAAGTTCAATTTCAGTGGTTAGTGATGCTTCTTCCGAAGATATGTTGCAAAATCAGTAGCATAAATTATCATAATTATGGCGCACGTATTCACCTCTCCATACACCCCTTCACCAATCTTCTCGATGAATTTCACGTCTTTATTGAGAAAAGTGAGCATGGGTGTGTCGGGCTTCCAGGCTTCTTGCGGGAATGTGGTCTGGTAGACGCTGGTCCCTGTAGCCCCCTGGATGTTTGGCAGGATCCTGTTCTTCTTCATGTTTTTCCGGGGTATGAGTTGGGATACTGGAGAGTAGGTTGATGATAAGCTGAATGGCGAGAAGGATGTGTTGAAGCTGTTGTCTGCGAAGTACATGGTGTTTTTGTGGTTGTGGTTGTTGGTTCCCTTGGAGCAATTGTTTTTGTTTGGTTTGTCATTGTGGTTGTTGTATGCGCCATCCATGACATCTGGTGTTGGATAAATATTTAACGAGAGTTTTTTTTTCAAATTCGCTAATCATTCTACTTTAAAATAAACTTTAATTTTTGAAAATTACGTTGTTTGTAAAATAATTAAACGATGTATTCCATCAAATTCACATGGACACCACAGTTTGAATGAAATTAACGTGCCAAAACACTATGTAATAATTAATCGTTCATCTTCATTTATAAAATTTTTCAGCACCCCAACCAACCCGCATGATTGACATTGTGGTTCGTAGGATCGTTCGGAATGTCATATATCGACATCGGGCCGTCAACTAATGCGTGACTCCCCAAATCATTGAAATCATAACCAGCGGATGTCAAACTGAATGCATTATCATCCCTATCCATCAGCTCGTTCAGCGCTACGGACTTGTAAAGATTTCCTTTAATGGATTTCCCCACGTTGTGATCTGAAGAGTTTGAGGAGGAAATAGCTGAAGATTTTTTAAACTCCACTCTGTCATCCAAACTAAACAAAGTGGATTCCAGCGCGGTCCTGTTATACTTGCGTTTCTTCTTTTTGAATGAATATACGATGACAAATCCGGCTGCAATGATAACTAGAGGGATGATCGTACCGACTATCGCTCCTATAATCGGGTCGATAAAACTTCTCGTGTTGTTGAGGTTCGAGTTGTCGGTATCGGTATGATGTGCTTCGTTTGCCGGGCCTGTGTGTGTGTATGAGTGTATATATATATATATATATGTGTGTTTGTATGTGGAGGTTGATGTGATTGTGGAAATGTGTGGTGGTTTTTAATGTATTGGGGATGTAATTGTTGTTGTTGGAATAAACAAAAATTGGGATGTCGACGTGATGTTAATGTGATTTGTGATGCGATTGCCACAGAGATTGCAGATGTAACATGGACGTCAGCCGGCTTAAAATGTCATAATATTAAGTCAGCACCTCGCACGTGCCTGCTTGCCTCGATGGGTTGTTCGAGAGAAAAAAATAAAAAAAATAAGAAAAATAATAATGAATAATAGTTATAATAATAATAATAATAATAATAATAACGACAAAGACAATTTCAATTTTTTTCTAATTTTTACAAAGGAGAATATCATTTTGAATTTAAAAATTGCATGGAAGACAATTTCAAAGTATAATTTTTAGGAAGAGAAAGCATTTTGATATCGCCACGTAACGTACTAAAACGATAAATATCATGACGGCTATGATCAGTCTAGTGCCAAAATGACGACGATAGCAACAAAACAAAAACAACAACTACAACAGCAACAACAACACACGTGTAGCTAAAACAGCAATTTGTTGGTGCGGCAATAATGTATGACCCTAAATGCAATGAAAATGAGATCATTATGTTGATGGTAACTTAACTTGACGCTAACATTGTTATCGGTAGTTACTGTAATTGTCCTTTTGTGTTGAAATGTTGAAAGAAAGACAGAGAGAGAGAGAGAGAGAGAGAGAGAGAGAGAGAGAGAGAGAGAGAGAGAATATGAAAAAGAATGAGTGAAAAAAAGAAAGAGATAAAGAATGAGAGAAAGATGAACATTAAATTTTTAGACAAAAGGATGGTGGGAAATAAAAAAAAATGAAAGGATAGAGAGTGAGAGAGAAAGAGAGAGATAGCGAGAGTAGTAATTTATTAGGCTACTTGCTAGTATAACTGATGCAATCGGCGTGTTACTAATTTAATTAAGTAATTGAATTAAAAGTGACAAACCAATCGAACAGACATACTTTCAACAAAGAGAGGCAGATCATTATGAAAATATTCAGTATCCCAGTCTAAAGAAGCTGCGAAGTTAGATTGACCATTGGCCAGTTTGGTGGCTGCTGTGGTTACTACATAGTCCGAAGCGTTGGACACTTCGTGAAAAATTATTTCTGTTTGGGCGTTTTATTTTCTTGTTTTTTTTTTTGTAATTTATTTTAATAATAATTAGTATTAATATCATAAATAATATAACAATTGTAATAATTTTGAATTAATTTTACTACCTAAAGTTTATTTTTATAACAATAATCCTCATGAAAAGATTAGAAATTAGAAAATTAACATTTTTAAAAACTCAAATTCAAAATTTAAAAATAAATTCACCCCTCCCTACCTGAATGAAAGCGTATCTCACTGAGGGCCAAATAGAGATCGCTAAAGTGAAAGACCAACTTGATGAACTTAGCGGCGAAGTGAGGTATTTTGATGGATATGTTGTAAGGAATGGGATTGGGATAACTCAACAGATCCCTCTTAGTGTGGTGCACGTAGGCGTACGGATAGTACCTGCGTCCCGAGATGCTCGGAAAGATGAGGAGTTTGTGGAAGATTGAGGTGTTTTCCGCTGGACTGTGCTTCGCGAAAATTCTGGATTACAATTGATCAATCAATCAGTCAGTTAATCAATCACAACGAACAAACAAATGAACCAACGAACAAACGAACAAACTAACCAACCAACTAACCAACGAACAATAGAGGAACGAACGAACGAACGAACAAATGAATGAATAAAAAAATGGTAAAATAAATAACTGAACGAACGAACGAACAAATTAATGAATGAATTAGTGACAAAATAAATGAATATATAAATTAAAATCAACTCATAACTTAACAACACCTCAGAGTAGTATCTCCAAACGAACCGACCTACCTTATTTGACTGAAATTTCTGACGGCTTCAAACCGAAAATAAATTTTCAGAATGCCATCTCCATCATCAGAAGCGCCATTCTTAAATTTCTTCAACATATTTTTGACATCATTATCACGATTATCAACGCCATCGTTATCATGATCCTTCCTGCGATCCTCCTCATCATCATAATCACCATCATCATCATCATCGTTGTCGGAATTTTTGTACTTTTTGTTATGGCGACGACTCCAGACCATCCAATCGGATGACGGATAGATTTGACCTACTTTTTGAATATTATTATTATTGTTATTACTAATTATGTTATTATTGTTATAGTTTTTGTTGCTATTGTCAATATTGTTGTTACTAGTGTTGGCGTTATTATTATAAATGTTATTGCTGTTATTATTATTGAAGTTGTTGTTGATGATATTATTATTATTATTGTTGTAGTTGTTGTTGTTGTTGTTGCTATTTGACGCGGATTTGACATTTGTTGATAAGCCGTCATTGAGGTCTGTTAGCCTTCCAAGACCATTACGCATGTAACCATCAAACATTTCGCCATCGTATGGCTCTAATAACATGTTGCTGTTGTTGTTGCTGCTGCTGCTGTTGACGTTGTTGTTGTTGTTGCTCTTGTTGATGTTGTTGATGTTGTTGTTGTTGATGTTCCGCCTGACGTCATAGGAGATCACTCCATCTGATAATGTGTTGTGATGATGTTTTGTTGTTGTTGTTGTTGATTTGGCTTCATAAACGTCAAGAATATAATAAAAGTAGTTGTAATAATAATAATAACAATAATAATAATAATAACTACACCATTACTATTACTACTACTACTATTACCACAAATACTACTACAACTACAGCAACAACAACAGCTACTACTATTACCACTAATACTACTACAACAACATCTATTACTACAACAACAACAACAACAACAACTACTACTACTACTACTACTGCTACAACAACAACTACTACTACTAATAATAATAATAATACTACATAAGATATATCATAAAATAAAACAATAAAAACAAAATATCAAGAAGTAAATAGAGATAACCTGTCCATGAGCAGCCATAGAGCTCGACACGCATGCATATGACTCTAGGAACGACACTCCACGGAAGGAAGCGGATACTCCGGGCTATCAGGATCGGGTTCAAATCCTGCTGGCGTGCAACTGCTACGTTGATGTTGCCTTCTAAGATCTAGTGGATGAATGAGTGAATTAATGGATGAGTGAATTAATGGATGAATGAATGAATGAATGAATGAATGAATGAATGAATGAATGAATGAATGAATGAATGAATGAATGAATGAATGAATGAATGAATGAATGAATGAATGAATGAATGAATGAATGAATGAACGAATGAACGAATGAACGAATGAACGAATGAATGAATGAATGAATGAATGAATGAACGAATGAACGAACGAATGAACGAACGAACGAACGAACGAACGAACGAACGAACGAACGAATGAATGAATGAATGAATGAACGAACGAACGTACAAACGAACGAACGAATGAATGAATGAATGAATGAATGAATAACTGAGTTAATGAGCGAGTGAGTTAATGAATGAGTAAATGAATGAATAAATGAGTGAGTGAATGAAGACAAGA